GGCTGATGGCGTCGAAAACCAACCGATGCCGTCAGTACGATGCGCAACATAGAGACGTACATTTCGCTCCCAGTACCCTCGTATTACTCTGGTCCTCTCATCATTGGCTAGGCCTATCAGAAAAACTTTGGCTCATTACACGAGACCTTACTGTGTTTTGCCGTCACGTAACACCTGTCACCTATGAGATTAACCCCATCTATCAATAGTCATCTGCTGTGCGGTACAGTCATATTATACACGTCTCGCGGATCAACCCTACAAGAATAAGTCAGATAATGACCTTTAAAGCATCGGGACGGTGCTTCCGCCGCCGGGGGACATGCTACGTGCCAGTGCATGGAGATGAAGAAGACAAAGCAGATAGACTGGTGCGAGCTGATCCCTGTGGCTGGAGCTGCTCGCTTAACCGGCTGTAAGTACATCTGTGACTACTTCTCCGAGTTGGTCTCCTTTTTGTAACAATATGTAGAATTACCCTTACAGCTAGAGTGTATAAGCCGGCAAAACAAGCTTTTAAGCTTAAAAAATTATCAATAGATTTGAGGATAATTTGTTCATATAAAGGGACCCTGCAACAGTTTTTCAAGAAATGGATTCACTGATTGATTGATATGTGGGGTTTGACGTCCCAAAACCACTATATGATTATGAGAGACGCCGTAGTGGAGGGCTACGGAAATTTAGACCACCTGGGGTTCTTTAACGTGCACCCAAATCTGAGCACACGGGCCTACAACATTTCCGCCTCCGTCGGAAATGCAGCCGCCGCAGCCGGGATTCGAACCCGCGCCATGCGGGTCAGCAGCCGAGTACCTTAGCCACTAGACCACCGCGGCGGGGCAAGAAATGGATTCACTAAAGAAGCTTATTACCTTAAACTAAACGCCACAACAATTTTTTTATATCTGTCCAGCATGAGTGGAGTTGCAAAGATTTGACACATGCTGCAATGGCATTCTCTCTTCTCGTTCCGACGAAAGCGCTTGAAGCAAAGCCAGGGAGATGGCATAGTGAAAAAAAATGCGTCCCGTGCGTGTCGTGACCTTGAGCACTCTTTATTTCTCTTTTTTTCTTTGAATATGCAGTCTTTCAGTACACGCGCATGTATGCATGGTCATGTCGAGGCCACTCGCAGTGGCCCCAGTAACGACCGAGCGCCCCATGCACAAATCAGCCTATGGCTGGTACAATGGCTGTGACGAGCGATTTCTGACATTGTGGCGTCATTTGCCGAAAAAAAACATCAATTTTTATCTGACCTTTAGAATTTATAGTGGATTCCAGGTCACATTCTGTGCTATAATACTTAGCTTGCATGTTCTTGGTAGCCTCAACTACTGATCAGCAGCGTTTGCTGACCATGCTCAAAAAGTGTTGCAGGCCCTCTTTAAAGTTGAAGTGGGGCTTTGCGGCAGAGCAAATTTTCTATGATTAAATGCTTTCACGAGTCAACACCGCTATATTGCAGTGAAACCACTTTTACAGGCGGATGCCGTTTAGTATACATCTATTCGTTCATGTCGAATACTTCCAAATATTCAATATTTTAAATTCAAATCGAAGCGAATTCGAATACTCTCCTATTCGTTCGAATATTCGAAGCATTCAAATATTTGCACAAGCCTAATACAGTGTCAAAGGCAGACTGGCCTAGTTGTGCTGAAGTCAAAGTCACAAGAAATACTGTACTGCATTTCGCACCAATGTCGTTGGTTGTTTCCTTCGAATCTTAAAACACACAACTGCTTTTCAATGTCCGAATCCAACAAGTACTTACGTCATTTGGGTCATGGAAGCGACATCAATAAAAGGGCATGTGGGTGGCTGAGAAGGAAACACAAAAAGAAGCTTGGAAACCTGACCAGGGAATGAAACCTCCGATTCTATGACTTCGAGCATGAGAGATCGATAATCCTGACCGCTATGGCACAAATACAGAAACGTCTCCTGGCCCAAATGCATTTTATATCCTTCCTGCTTTAACAGGGATGATGCTGCCATCTAGAAGGGATGTAGCAAAGCACCGCCATGAATCGCTGTAGCAGTGCCTTGGCAGTCACAACAGCAAGGAACCAGCAAGGTGCAGTGCGAAGCGAGGTGCTTTTGTGAATTCAAGTGCACACCATAAGTGCGCTGCAAGCTTCAACTTTTGCTTTTATTAATCTAAGCATTGCAACGTACGAAGCTGCCAGAAACATGAACTTAAACCACAACGATGAGCAGCGATGTGGCAGTACGTGTCCGTATGTGTCCATATGTACGTGTCAACGTTGAAGTCAGTCATGCCACCCCAACAGCAATAGAGAAAATGTGAATTGTATTTCTCAATACACAACAGCTGGCGACTACACTGAAACCTCATTACACAAAGTTGAATGTCACACAATAAGTTCCTAATATCTGGAAATTTTCTATAAAGGTATATCCTAACACTACATTGCAAGACGATACTTCACTAACTTCATTGTAACCAATATTTCGTTACATCTGGGTTTGTTATATCGAGGTTTGAGAGTGCATCTATGGAGACGCATTTCGCTTCCGCGATGTGAATGATTCCCACTAAAGTGTGACCAACCATCATTTCCTTTTTGGTTAATCGACTTTGCACTGTGCATCGACATGAGGCACCCACATTGCTCCTTACAGCACAGATTTCGTCAGAAAAAAGTCTCAAAGACTGTGCTTTTACATATTACAGATGCTGGAAGAGGTCACTGACAGCTCAAACACGTCATGGCTGCCGTGTCTGGAAACTGCTCACTGGACTTGTGCGAGCCCACTGCATGTTACTATTACGTCCCAGATACATACACAGTGATGGTAGCACAAAGAGTCAATGTACATCATTGTCACCATCAGCAGCAATCTATGTCCACTGCCCTGTCCTGCGTACCAGAAAATTTCTTAATTTCCTGACTCCATCTAACCCTTTGCCATTATTGGCTACAATCACTTTCCATTCCATTTCACGCCTGCTCCATCGTTCTCTTTCATCCACTAACTTTTCAACGCACATGTTAGCACTGCAAGTATCCTTTTTCAACCCAGCGACCACCGTACTGGCCATGACGAAAAAGCGATGCAAAAAAGCAGGGGGAGCTACTATCAGAACCTAAACCACTTTAGCAGCTTCTGTAAGAGTTGAGCGACATGTTTTTAAAAGTAGTTCCTCCTTCAGCCCCATTTTCTTACGCGGGCACCTCAAAGTAATGGCATAATCCATGCGGAAACGCACACGCACAATGCTGTCAAGTATCTAAAATTATTTTAGGAGCTAGCTTTGCGCAAACCAAATGATTTAAACCGTGCGAGCTGTATTAAGTCTTTTTAAAACATTGTCGCAAAGAGGTAGCTTTTGCAATCAGAAGTTTGCTGGCGACGCCAGATTGTATTTATGTCCAAAACACTGGACACCAGGATGCAATTGGCGCACATCGTGCTAAACATGGAGAATAGATGCATGAATGAACTTCATTTGGCCTTTCAAAACGTGCTTTCGCATGTTGCGAGAAAAAAAAAACAATAACAGAAGATGGCATTGCATGACAGTCTTGAAACCCAACTATAAAAAACAAAACTGGGGCATGCTGGAAATCTATCGAGAGCATGAAGCACAAGGAGGTAGTGGCGTCTGATAAAGTTGACCAGTGTACACTAAGCACGCTGCCTTCAGGTATTCTTTTCTTTCGTGGTGCTCAACGCTACATGCAGCAGCTAACTACAAGAAACTACTTCTCTGGTCAGAACCAACCATGCTTGTGTTTTATAGGATGATTAACCTTTTGACATGGCCAAAAGCAGCACTCTCTCAAGGAAGATAGCAGAGTGTGTGTACCTATATGTCCAACAGATGAATCGCAGTGTCCAGCATACTGGACATGGTTTTCCTGTGAAAACTATTGTACCTACAGGCTTCACTATTTTTCTTGCATGCTTTTAAATGGTCTTTTAGCTAGAAAAGAACAATAAAAATTTCTGTCCGGCCCAACAAAAAATTTGGGCCGGAAAGGGATATATTACTGTGGTTGGGCACATTCTCTTTTAGGGGCAGAAGTAATTTGCTTCTTATATTTTAAGAATGTCTGCCATTACGCCTGCAACCCACCCTTTTCTCCAGAACATTTTTTTTTATGAGCAACCCACCCCACTAGAAATTGACCATACATAGTATTCTTGTCCAATTCTAGGTACCAGTTGCCAATTGCAATCTCTCGTTATTCGCCAGACCCACTAACATTATCTGTGTTTCTCGCTGCTACTGCACCTGCTTGTACTTCCGGTGTTCTCAGCGATCGTAATCTAAACCAAGCTCTCGATGAACATGACCTTGTCAAGGCCACGAGCTTTGACGTGCTGCACGGGTAGTTCGCGATAGCGCCAATGCAATCCACTGCCGACGCCTTTGACGCCGTGTTGAATTAGCGCCTGGTTTTTACATTGCGTGGTTTGAGAGCTAGAACAGCCGGTGTAGTTAAAGCCGTGAAGCAAAAAGGCAATCTGTTATCGCGTGTCGGAAAAATTGGTCTCGAATCGATTTTGTCACGTCGACCTCGCGGCGTGTTTTTCCAGCCACTGAAGCGAGGCGAAATCCAGCAAGCTTTGCTGTATTCACTCCCTTCGAGGCCAAGAGTGAACAAGCCTTCCTCCCGCAGACAAACTGCATTGTGCTGCTGGCGTGCAGCGGTCAATCGCATATTCGTGTCATCCGCGGTGACTGGTGAAACCGTTCATGTAACACCGAATTAGGAAGTATTTTATATAAAGCAGTATGTCCAAAACAACCTTAAAATTTGTATCATCATGAAACTCGCATCAATCGTAATCGCATCATCAAGATTCTACTGCATCAGTGTTTCTTACAAAGGGGTTCGACTGCATTCAATTATGTCCTACCAACTTGCCCAAGTTTCTACGCTTTAATATTAAAATTAGGACATCAATATATGAAGCACGCATCAGAGCATGAAGAAGACGCTACATAGTACACTACTTACATGTTGGCCAAGTAATCAAGGACCGTCCTGTCTTTGGAGAGGATGTCGGCAAGGATGTGCTGCCAACCGAGCAGAACCTCTTTTGATGACTGCAACCCTGAAATTTGATTGTATTCTAGTGTTTAAAATACTACACACCTAATGCAGGAACTTGCAAGGGCATTAAAAATACTCTTGAAAACTAACAAGAAATACCACATGAGACAAGAAGTGTACAGTTACAGTGCGCTGAAAAAAAATATCACCGCTATACAGACGAAACCCGCAATAACGGAACCCTGCGAGTACGAAATTTCCGCGGCAACCAAATATTTCCGGTTCCCTGGCGAACGTTCATAGAAGCCCACGTATTACGTATCTCGCGGCAACAAAAGGTTTTTGGACAGCGATCCCACATTAACGAATTTTCTACCACGGTGCGGGCCTTATTTTACCCTCAAGCCAAAGGTTAACTGTCGAAAATATGCTCGTATGTATGTTATGCGCACTCAAAATTTGTAAACGTCTGCTTTTGCTGCGCTAGCGTGGGTACCGCCATTATTGTTTGCACAGACCCCATCAGTGATGCCGGACACAGACCCCATCGCTGTGGACACAGACCCCATCAGCGATGGGGTCTGTGTCCGGCAACATGCCTGGCCACACTGCAGCAGGCGATGGCAAATGATCATGCTGCGATGACAAATGATCAGGCGATGGCAAATGATCCCGCGGGCTTCACCACCACCGTGCAAGCATCACGCACGGATTGCGCTTCGTCCTCACCAGCCAAAAATTTGGACGAAGGTGCACTTGACGGCGAGACTGGTGGCAGTGCAGTGCCTCTACCCTTGACCAACGCCTCGGGGGAACTTCGAGCCATTGACATCCCAGATGAACCCACCGTTGATGCATTCGTTCGCGCCGATGACGTCGTAGTCGTGTACGAGGAAGTGACCGACGAGGCCATTATCGAAAGCGTGCACGAAGCTGACGACACCGAGGACCAAGAAGAGACGCACGCGGAGAAACCCAACCCGCGGGTTGTTTTGAATGCGCTGGACACCCTTCGCTCCTTCTTCAGCGCACATGACGACGACGTAGCAATGGACCACTTTTTCCAGTGCGAAGGAAGAGCTTTGAAATTGTTGCATGGCAAGGGTCTGCATGGTAAGTTGACCATCTTTTGGCAATAAGTTTTCGTCCTGCTGGCCGTATAACTGTTTTTATGTCTCAACTGTTTATGTCTCACACTCGCGGCAACGAAATTCTCGCGAAAACAAATTTTTTTCGGTTTCCCCGGCGATTTCGTTATTGCGGGTTCCGACTGTATCCACAAAGTGAATGATGTTAGAGGAGCTTGCTTGGAGGTGCATCAGGCATTTCTTGGCGAGACCACTTCTGTAGAAAAGTTTGTTAACGAGCCAGGGCATGATGTGTATGTCGAAGGCAACGTTGTTGGCCACTGTACAGTATTGGCCACATCGATCGGCACATTAATCACTAGTCCCTTTATGCCATACTGGTCACTGCCATGAGTCAAATGCCTTACGCTCATAAATGACAGGCATGAAGATATCAGTCGTTCTTTAATGGGGTAGAGAGCAGGCAGGTGAGGGGGCTTTGGAGGATATTGGTGCCCGTGGTGTGCGTAACAATCATCATAGAAACTTATAACGTACTACCGTGCCTACGAAGCGACAAGAACGAAGTGAACGTAGTCGAGAGGAGGCGAGCTCGCGGGCCATTGAAAACAGACGTCTCGTAGGAAACCTTCAGGAGGGCCACGCCACTTCTTTCGGCGCGCACATGAAGGCTGTCAACACTCTGGGTGGCCGCGCACCATTTAGTGAATATTGTTGGAATCGCTACCCTGAGCAACAACCAGAAAAGTCTACACTGTCAACACTGGCGTACAAGCCGGCTGCCTATATCTATGCCGGACAAGGCACTGGCGTTAGAAGCTTGCCGACCAAGCTACTAAAAGTTTTCCAGTTTTGGAGGAAGCTAGCTGCTGTGTCCAAAACTAGGAAGTGTTTATCAACATTTAAAACAGAAGTCAAATTTTAAAAGAATCAATAGACAGCCCCCTGTAGCTACAAGACGGGTGGTTTTCATTGATATGAAAATCCGTGTGAATGTCTCAGAAAGAAGGCTTCTTAGTTGCCGAAAAAATCATCCTGGTCCAATTGTTGAACTCAGGACTAATGCTATTATGAGGTGCTTGTTCTAGCATTTGAGCCAGCCAACAGGGAAGCATTCGGCAGCACGAAGGCAACTTATTTGAAAACTTGAAGCACATGGACACTGAATACTGTCAAGTGTTCAGGGTCCATGGTTTTTAAGTTGTCGATTAATTCTCTCTTGTATAATCTTGCCCTCCTTGGCTTGCTCAAGTTCTAGAATGACCACATTAGAATAGTGTTGGTCTTGAGTTCGACATATGAACCAGAACAAATTTTTCGGCAACTAAGAAGCCTCCTTTCAAAGAATTTCAAGGTGAATTTCCTTAAGGCTATTTGCTGCAAAACAGGCGGCTATTGGTTTTCGCGTTCACAGTCCATCATTTTGTGGGTCTGCACAGAACTGCTTAGCGAAATCAACTTTTAATCAATTTTCTTAGGAACACTGAAACTACCGTAAGTACTCGAATCTAACGCGCACCTTTTTTCCAGTTAAGCGAGTTCATAAATCGCATGTGCGTTAGAATCAAGTACGAAAAAAAAATTAATACGGTCATTCTATTGCCATCGGCATTCCAAAATGGCCGCCCCCTACGTGCGTCAGCATGGCGCGTCGGCCATTTCTGCCTATGTGTTTCCCATGTGCGGCACTTCGTACGTGTGCTGAGGAGTTCGTCATCTTGGTGTGCATTAGGATCGACGGCATGGAAAGGCCGTCTCCAAAAACTCGAGTGCACCACGATGCCTCTTTTAAAATAAAAGTCATCGCGTGTGCCGAAACGGACGTAAATCGGGCTGCATCGCGGTCGTTCGGAGTTCCCGAAATGTGCGTGCGGGACTGGCGGAAACAAAAGCAGAATATTGTCGACAGCAAAGATTCACGCAAAGGCTTCAGCGGACCACAGGAGGGTCGGTTTCCGCAAATTGAAGAGCTGCTCGGCGAGTATGTGATTGAGCAGTGAGCGGCACAGCGGCCCGTGACGACAGAACTGCTCAAACTGCAGGCTGTGCAGTTAGCCTTAGAAAAAGGGCTAATGCGGAGCCAGTTTAAAGCGAGCAGGTGCTGGCTAACTAACTTTATGAAGTAGAAAGGATTTTTCCTCCTAAGGCGAACGGGCATATGCCAAAAGTTGCTGGAGGAGTACGAAGAAAAGCTTCAGTTTTCAGAGGTTCGTCCTAAACTTCCCGCACAACAGCGGATCCCTGCTTGGGCAAATCAGGAATGCTGATCAGACGCCTCTTTACTTCGAAATGCCTGGCACCACAACCGTCGAGAAGAAGGGGGCGAAGCAAGTTCGCGTGCAGACATCGGGCCACGGTAAAACTAGAGTGACAGCAATGCTCCGTTGCACGTCAGATAGGCACAAGCTTCCCCCATACTTCATATTTAAACGAAAGACGCTCCGGAAAGGAGTCTTTTTCCCGAGTGGTGTGATCGTGTGGGCGAACGAGAAAAATGGGTGCGCATTGCAATCAATGTCTTACTTTTCTTTTTTTTCGTCGTGGAAATTGGGTGCGCGTTACAATCGAGGGCGCGGTAGAATCGAGTAAGTACGGTAACTGTTTCCTGTATCTTGTTTATCCAGCCAAACTATAAACTACAACTTTTTGTGTCAAATTAGAGCAAGAGCATGGCATCGCTAAGTGCAGCATGTCCTCTAAAATTTTAAGCAAAATTTGCAGCATGGACGGTACCAATTATAGATGAGTGTCCGGCACCATACGAGCACCAGAGCAGCACCTAAATGTCTCTCTCACGCTTAACTTTATTATTGGCACCATGTGAGAAGGAACTTTCCTAACCTTTGACATCGGCCTTGACGAGGCTCTCAGGATTGATGGACTCGACTGTGGCCTCTCCTCGAAGAATCTGCTGAGCCGTCTCTTCGAGGCCAAGGTTCTTGGCCCTCTGAGCCAGGGAACGCCCCTTGGACTCCTTGTAGGGGGCGTACTGCCAGAAACATGAGAGATTACTTTATGGCCCAAAATGCACTTCGTTCATATCAGCGTGGCGCACACTCAAACCTTGATATAACGAATTTGAATATAATTAATTATTGGTTATAACGAAGTCAGTTACCAATAGCTTTGCCATAGATACAGTCTTAAAAAGAATTGTTTATAACGAATTTTCGGATATAACAAATTAGTTACGTGGCAGATGAGAGTTTGCTATAATGAGATTTGGGTTACAGTAATACCTCATTAGCTGAAATTTGACGTGTCAGGTTTCTTTCGTATATGTGCCTCGCTAACACAAGCTAAGTGCATGAATGACCAACTTGCCCCAAGCTTCAATACTTCTGCCCTAAATGCAATGACCCCTCACTTATCCCACAAGCCATCTTGATCACTCAGGAAATGGATGTCACTGAGAAGACTCGCGTTTTGACAAGATGTCTTGCTAGTGACCTCAATTAGCAAGAAAACTATGTTGCTGCTCGCCTGTGACTACTGCAGAGACCGCTTTCCATCGTTGTGAGTTAAAAAAAAAAGTTATTTACTGGCTCAAGCCAAAGAGGTCAAAATAATAATAAATAAGAACAGGCAGTCTTACTACAAATGTTCATTTGCTTTTCTCAGCAAGTGCATTGTCCAGTCATAGCATTGCATTGTCATAGCACTGTAATTAAGTGGTGCTCAGCCGTAAAAACGCAGATCTAGGGAAAAGCCACACTGCCATGAAGCCCCACTTCAAGGTTAAATGAGGATATTACCCTCAGATGGATTCAGTTTTCAAGTTTAAAAGCTTCTTATACTGACTTATATCGTTTAAGTATAGAAAATTTTAAAAAGTATTGTACTTTAGCAGCTATCACTTGCATTATACCGAAAGTCAAATCTTTCTACTATTCAAAGTTGTTCACACTTTCCTTGATACGAGAAAATGGAATTTGCACAGGTCTTGTTTCACTTTCTTTAGAAATATTATGCAGGTAAGTTAGAACATCAAAAATATGCCCATTTTTCAAATATTATTTGCTGTGTTACTACTCGACTTTGATTTAAAATTAATCGACCGAAATCACTGTTTGCTTCAAATTCGCTTTGAACCCAAAATTCACTACTCACACAAGCCTAGAACTTATGAAACCAGGACGTATGAATGGCAATCTGCCTGTGCAAAACAAGGTTAGTTCAAGACAGCTTCGCTAATTAAGCAATCAGACTAAGTAAGCTGATCACAATAATTATAATTGTGCCACTCATTGCACGAGCATACCAAGTGGTCCAGCTCCACGCTACTGCGGGCGCCTATGATGAGCTTGCGCACACTGGGGTCCCCCTTGTTTTCCTTCGTCAGTGTCTCCAGTATGGTGCGTGCCTTCTTCTTCACCTGCCTGCAAGGCGAGACCCATCGTAGAAATAACTCAACGGCATGCACTGAGCATCAAATTAGAAGAAAAAAAAACTAGCTGCAAACATTGAAGATCCTCTAGGCCACCTGGTATATTCTTTTAACATCTCTAGTAAACACGCGCATCGTCACGATCTACTATATTTACTTGCATAGTAGGCGCACTATTTTTTTGCATAATATCTCACAAGTTCCGGGTGCCCCTATTGTGCGGGTGAAATTTCAGAAATGTTATTTGAGAGTACAAGCATAGATTGCTGATAAATCAAGTCGCCGAAGCCACGAATATCCGCACTACAGGTGAAACAATCTTCTTCATAGGCTACACTAGCGCAAAACGCGTTGAGCATGCAGTCTCACGTGTCCAAGAACCAGGGCATGCGATGCAGTGTGCTTACAGGCATTTAAATTTCAAAAAACTAATATAGAAAGACCTTCGTTGCCAACGAAATGAATGAGGAAAAAGAAATCATGAAAAAAAGTGCCATTGCAAAAATTCACCAATTACATCTCGGGCCACTTAGATTAAATGCATTATTTCTCCATGTCCAATATTTTTTTATATTCAAAGACATTGCAATTGAATCACAAATGACCATTAGAGTGTTACAAAAGCCACCCATGCCCCCTTTTCTTCAAGTAGAAAAATCGCTAAGATATACATTGATTCCGTACAAAACCGCAACTTTGATCGCTCGCGATCGTCAGCAACAAGCGACCAACGCTGCTTAGACTATGCCTACGGTTCGACGTGTTGTCACGGGGAAATTCGCCCAAGTGAACGTGAAGTTTGGGCGTTGAAAAGATCGCACTAAAGCACTGATTCAAGAGTAGCCCGCATGATATGTTTAGTTTCGCAGCCGGAAAATCAACTGCAACTGAAGTCTTCAGAACTTGTGCATGCTTGCGTAGTAGCAGCAAAGGCGAAAGCATGTGTCGAAAAGCCAAGAAGCTTTCAAATTTTGCGTGCAAGACAGCAAAACCACTGACAAGGGCGCTTTTCCCAGCGGGAAATTCAAAGCGGGCTTGAACGCACATGGCTGGAGTCACGCCTGTGCAATGCCAAGGCACCCTCCCTTCTTACTGGTGATCCCGCGCAGTGCTGCCACGGTCCTTTTTCATTTATTTTTGCTCCAGTTAATGTAAGATGGCATTGAATTGCAACCGTGCAAACATGGTACAAAACTATTGATCAGGGCCATGGCCGGGGTGCACTTATTATGTGCAGATACGTATTAAAAAAACTGATTTCCTGCCACCAAACTGGGGGTTCGCCTATTATGCGAGTGAATACAATACAGTGCCAAATGCAGTAGTGCCAAGCACCACAGGTATGCCAGAAAAAAAAAATAAAATCTTGCGCTCCTCTTTCGGCCTTAGGTATCCCCGGCATGAGTTGTACCATCAGAAGAAAACTCTGGTGAGAAAGAACCTGTTTGCCTACGACTACCCACACTCCCTGCAGGGTAAGCAGGAACATTTGGCCAGAAAGAGTTATGAATCGATGAACGCAGAGCATAGTAGAAGGCACAAGCCGAATTGGCAGTGGCCATACTTTGATCACTAAACCTTTGAAGCTTTTCTATTAGAGTACCATTTAGAAACTTCCTCAAGTCCACTTCTTTGTTGTAGACTAATGCCCAGCTGCAACACCACGACTACTGTTGCACCTCTGGGTGATTTAAGGGCTGCTTAAAACAATGTTAGCCTCTCATCAATGCAACATTGCTTGCAGTCCTCTGCGGTGCAAAGCCCACAAAGATGCCATGTATTCATATTAAAATATGGCATTTCGGTGCAGCACATCTTTAATAAACCGTATGGTTCATCGCAGAAGGTCGGGGGGCAACAGCCGAGCAAGTACAAGCGTTCATTCATCAACCACGAGCGTCGTAGTCTTCCTGCCTGAAAGTGGCGCCCCTACCTTTCAGAACAGCGCTGATCTTCTTCATTACACTATATCTGCACTCAGGTAGTGCTACAATCAGCCCATATTCGCGTTCTTTTTTTTTAGTAATTCTGGGTCTATATTCTGATATGTTGCGACTATGTGGAGTTTCCAAACTTGCATGACAAGAATTTTGCTTGAAGTCAGGGACAGCACAATTGAATGTTTTTTCTGAAAGACAATCTACACTCAATCCTTATTATAACAGTCACGTCTGCCACGAAAATAACTTCGTTATGCCTGAAAATTCATTATAAACATAGTTTTGTCACATTGTATCTGTGGCAAGACTATTCTTTATATACTTTGTAATACCTGACAATTCATATGTGCAGGTCGTAATATCAAGGTTTGTGTGTATAATATGCAGAGGAAATTTAGTTCAGTTATAACTTTTGGGTAGTTGACAGAGCCTAAGCTAGCAACTTTCTTGTCCTATTTAACATACAACTTCCTCAGACCAGCCATGCAGCTCAGATAGCCAGTCAGCCAACCATGGTTCAAGTGCGCTAAGTATTATGCGTAACTTATGAAAGAGGTGCTCACAGAAGGCTGGCGTAGGTGTCCTGAATGTCCTGCAGTCCATCTGCCTGGAGGCCACCCGTCTGCTCGCGACGGTAGCGCGCGATAAATGGGATGGTGCACTCGTTGGACAGCATGCTGACCACGTTGCGCACCACGTCCACTTGCACGCCAACCGTCGAGGCCACCGCCTCCTCAACGTGCCAGCCGTAGCGGGCTTCCCACTCGGCCTCCACGTCGATCGCGGCATCTCGTGTTGTGCCGGCGTTTGGGTCCTTGACTACCGAGGGTGCTGGTGGCGTTGCCTTCTGTGGCGAAGCATGGAAAGGTGCAGTTGGATAAAGCGCAGAGGCCTCATGACAATGAGTAAGCTGACTAGTTCCCATGTGCACTGAACACAAGTCACTCAACTCTCATTTAGCAATTGTGGGACGAAACAATGAGCGACAGTGAGTGTAAGCGAGTGCCAGGAAGCAGGAATTGACACAAGCATCAGCGAGAAATAGATGCCAATAAGTGTCTCTGAACGTAAAGTGAGGGCGGAAAGTGACTCCATATTAAGACTAGTTTCATAGTGAAATATTGGCCATGCAAACTGACAGGACACAGAAACAGTACTCAAACAAGCACAGACTTAAACTTGTTTTTTTTTTTTTTCCACGGAAGATTATATATACCGGAGAAACATGAATGCAAAGGGAAACAGGAGATGGAAGGACCTACTGTACCCAGGTGTCGTTCATAAACGAGATTTCACAATATAAAAGCGATAGAGAAAATGAGCTGAGAAAACTTTGAATATTATTTTGATAAGACTTCTACAATCTCCCTAGATTACGGTGGACCTTACTATCTACTGTGAATAAAGCCAAGTTTCAGTCGACGCATGTTTGTGTCCTTTTTTTGCGTCCTGTTAGTTTACGCAGCCAATCTTTCACTACGAATCCATATTAACCAGCCCACCTTTCAACCCTTCTGCAATTTAAGACTTATTCCATACTTCTGTAATACTTTACAGATTTTAGTAAAACAAAGAAGTGTCACATTCCTTACTGTAGAATTTTTTTCTTTTTTGCTAAAATGCCCTGTAAGCACCACGAACATCACTCTTTCACCTCTTTGAAGTTCACTGCTAACAAAAAGAACTCCAAACAGTAGCAAGCCAGAGTTAGTGTTAAAACATTTTGGATGCAACAAACAAGTAGGAAGAGTTAAACACTTTGCAGACACCTACCTCCAGCTTTACCTTCTTTGGCAATGGAGCCGCAGCCTTGCGACAACGGGGCCTTGCCATGGGCTTCTTTGAAGGCACAGGGGGCGCAGGCTGCATAAGAACAACTCCCACTTCCCAATTTTTCTCACTGCTGGCAAATAAGCTCACTATCCTGAAATTCTTTCTACATAAACTTCTGCACAAGTATCAACGTTGTACTAACGCAGCTTTCTGCATTAACCCTGTCAAACATTGCCTATAAAGGACTGCCTGTATATTCATCGTGTGCAGGTGCATGCACAGGATATTCAATCAGAACCAAAAGAACAACATATTAACTTGATTTATGTGTTTTATCATAATTAATTTAATTAACTCTATAATTACCCCATGAAATTGGTTGTTTTTCAAATGTCTCGGCAAGGTCGTTTTTTCCAATTTGTTAAGTACTTCAGTGAGCATTGCAGCATATCAAACTTTGCACGATCAACTGCTCTTTCGAAAAATTAAATGTTGTAGAGCAACAAAAATATTTTAAAATGAATAAAAATGTCAGAATTGTGTAATTTCTGGTTGTTAGCTGGTAAACAGTGCCATAAAAACACTATATATGCAAAAATGTTCCAAACAAGAAAAATCCCGAATATACATTTCATAGATGAATGACCCAGGAACAGTATAAAAAATAATGAACGTTGTACAGAATGTTTCTCTTCACATAGGCCATTACAAGGTTTTGCATGGTTATACATTGCATGGTTATAAACCATTGCACGGTTTTTCATGAGGCACAAGTGAACTCGTACACTTTTCTCAGTAAATTTTTGTTGTGTTGCAGCAAGAGTCCCCAGATCGTCCAATATAAATGGATGCCCGTGAAGTGAACAATACCTCTATAAACGAAATGTCCAATGAACTTCGTTATTTTATCTAGCATCACCTTTTTCCATGAGCCACCCCACTTCACATAGGTTGGCGTTCCAATACATGCATCCAAGCATATTTCTTTGCATTTTTGCGCATATCGTATTAAAAAAAAATATTGCAAGGAGTTCTAAAACATTTCGCACTACTCCGTAGTCAGGGCCAGGATGTGCTTCGGGGGCCTTTTCGTCGTTAAGAAAAAACCTGCAGCACGTGCCAGCACACCACGCCCCAGCGAAGTGTGGTCCTCGCAAGTAACCAGAGTAGCTTTATGATTGTGCACAAAGGTCAGAAGCTATTTGCACTTGCGGCAGAGGAGAAAACTTGACGATGTAAACAAAACAAACCCATGAACGGCTGCGGATCTCTCAGGCTGACACGAAACACTGTCGCCATAGAACTTAGGCTGAGGTGCTGTCACCCTCGAACTCTAAGCTCGCCCTCACTCAATTTAGGTGGGGTCACAAGACAATCTCGAGCAGCGCATATTTTTCGTAGCGCTGGTGTATACCCACGCGCGTGGGACGACGATGTCATAGGAGCGACTAGTGACACTAGATGCGACCCTGTGTTTGATATAACGATGCAAGTAAAACCAAAGCTGAAAGCTGCTGGAAACTGTCGGAGAAGGCCACCTCGACCCTTTAAACATGCGGCAGACCTTCGTAAATATTTTTTCATAGAACAAACCTTTCCCAACTCCTAGGAACAGGTCTCCATTGAATAGCTGGCAAAAACTTCTAGAAAGAATTACTGCCCAACATTGCAAAATTGTGAAGCTGATACTTTAATTGAATATTTAACTTGCAAAGGTTCCTTTCATTACAGAACTTTGTGGGAATCGAGGCTAGCTCGCCGCCTTTGCGCAAGCTACCGCCTTTTTCTGGCTTCTATTGTCCCAACATGACTCTCCTCTCCTTTGCGGTTTGCTGGGCTGGGGAAGTGGGGAGTGACACATTAACCCCTCTCACCCAGTAGCGGATGTCAACTGGGGCGTCGTGCGCGGAGTCTTTTGAATATAACGATCTAAATTAGTCTATCGAAAAAAACCAACCATAGTGTGTTATGTATATAGTTTTCTGCGGAGTTTGACGCTCGTTCGACGCAGCTCTTTCACAACTACCGCGTCAACCTTACAGCCACGCCACGCGCGGCCGAGAGAGCCGTCCTTCTCACACAGCTGAAGAAGAAGATTGAGGAAGCCCTCAGCGGGTCACATGACCGAGAAGCGGCGCCGCGGTCCAAAGCGATTTCCCTCTCCACACCTTAAAAACGACGGCAACGACTGCATCTCCGCTGCTAACTTCTGCACCGAGAAAAAAAAACTCTCCGCGACAGCTTTCTTTCTTTTTTTTCCCTCTCTCTCCATGCGCGACCTTGAAAGAAGAAGGGTTTCTACGTGCAGAGATGAAAAAGAGAGAAGCGTGGCACAGGTGCATCGCAGATCGACATTTCAGAGAGAGTAAACAATCCGCCACAGTCTTTTCTTTCCTTTTTTTCTTTTCCTTCTTCTCGCGCAGCGTTGACAGGTGCCGCCGTGAGATGAGCATGGCGCTGAGAACATTTTCCGAGCGCGGTATGTTCGAATTGACCGTTGCAAGTACTTGTGTGTTCGAATTACAGAAGGTTTTCGCTCATTGGAATACACATAGCTTTAACGGGACCCCGAATTAACTTCGAATTAAGCGTGTTCAAATTATTGAGGTTCGACTGCGTTTATTTTCTGTCGCACGCGTGGTCGCGCAGCGGTACAGCGGGCCGAGAGGCAGTTTCCTTCTTTGCATGCTTATAGGCGTGCGCCCATCTCAGCATAGATTGCCACAAACTGTTATAATCGATATAACAAAATAATTGTGGCTCTCTTTCAACTTCGTTATAATGAGGTTTGAGTGTACTTCTCACCTGTGGCGTGGATAAGTTCATTTGCTTTCCCGCCGCGCCTTTGAAACGGGCTCTGTAGTGCGTTTTGGTGTTGCCGCAGATAATAAAGTGTTGCGACCTTGAGCAGTACTATGTTCCCGCCATGGCGACGGTTAATGCGTGACCTGCGGCTTGCTAAGACCGAACCCCCGCTAGTGGCTGTACTCCTTCAGGATACGTGTACACTACAACTTCGATGATAATGAGGGGCACGCACTTCTATCAAGTTCACCAGCACTTTTCAAACAATACACACACATTGGTTCGTTCAAAGGTCTGTCGAAAATTACTACGTTGCCAAGACGGGCAAATTCAAATTGATTTTGAAAGTTGAGTGGCTGGACTAACTACCAGAAAATGCTGGGTGCACGAAAAACAAATCTAACATGCCAATATCAATGATTCAATAGCGTCGATAACCGGTGATCGATTTGATTAGGCGTGGCAACGAGAGAGTTACGCTGTACTTGAGTACTTATTCTTTCTGAAGTAATTTATCTTCTGTTTTCGCACAACTAGATTCACATTTCAGGCTATAAATATAATAATAAATAACTGTTGTGGTTAGATGCTGCAGAACAGGCTAGAAATATAGCGCGAATCCAAAGTAAGTTATCGACACGGCACCTGCAGCTCGTCTAAATAAAAATGAGCTCCCGGCGAATGTCAGTGCTCGGCACCTACATCGACTGGCTCCGGCGGTGTTTTCCGGGAAGCGTGCCTTCGAGAACGCTTAGTGATGTGGACTGGAACATCTCTATCAGCGGACTGTACGACCAGGCGGTGGGTGCAGGCCATTGCAGGGGTCTGGACAGTGACAGCAGCGAGGGTCTCCACAAGGAGCTTGGGGCTCCAATTTACAACTTTAAGTGCTCACCACAGACTGCGACTCTACTGCCCTAAATGGCCCTACGACTATGGCGTCGCAGACCTCAACGATTGGAGGCATTCAAGCATTGTGCCCAAATCGTGACCTTTGCTTGAGAACACGGTGCACGAACTTATAAAGACCCCATGTAGCAGTGTTTATAACAGACGCACAGGAAGGGTTTAGAAAGATGAATTCCGGAATGCGCCGAGTGCGCATAGTGAATAAACCAACCGCATATAACCAGTCTGAGTCTCACCTCAGCAGTGCATACGAGAGCCGGCTCACCAATCAAACCAATCACTGCAATTCCATTTAAGCAGCAGTTCCGTAATTTTCTGTTTACTGAATGTCCACTGCAGTAGATGAATTTTTCAAGGTACCACCCCCAAGCTTTCGTTTTTGCTTTTTTTTCATGACTTTCTGGACCTACTGTCATGGTAATAGTAAATTTAGGGGTATTGTAAAAGTACAACTTACTAGCACAGTTCAACTAAGGCAAGATTTTTTATTTGGTGTTCTGTTAATAATAGACTTGACATGAATTATAAATGCAGTCAGCATGCAACGGACCCAAAATCCTGAAGGTTCTATTCGCTCACCCTCATGGAGCCGTCCAAAGGTATGTAATCAGGCAAGCTCTTTCGGGCACGTTTCACCGGCTTGGCTTCGACTTCTTCGCCGCCATTAGGAGCTTCTGACTTGGCTGCTTCTGCAGCGAGTTTTCTCTTCCGGCCAGCCGCTGGTGTTGGCTTTGCATTGGAAGCCTGCATGTTATAGAGGTTGTTTTTTGTCACAGATTTACATGTCTGGCAAAAAGAAACACTTCACAGCTAATATTAATAAATTGAGGAAGAGACTTTGTACGCAGATTCGCGGACATGGAGCGCAATAACTTAATCTTAGCGAGTGAGTGCATGATTATTATAGGTAATGAGACCACTAATTGCTGAAAGGAAGTTATGGCAGTGCTGCTTTACAATCAACCTTAGAAAATAGGTAATATACCACTGAGAAGCCCTTCTGTATTGCATTTGAAAGTAAGTTCTGTGGAGCTAAGTGCTATAACCTTGATATGAGTATAACATGAGCCTTAGTGGGGAATCTAAATTAGCGATGAACACCCCCGGGTTCTTTGACATCTGGTACTAAAATTTAGGAACAAATAGAATGACACTTGTCTAGGGCGGCCAGCTGGCCACTTCAGCTACCGTTTTCTGCGAAAGTATGTAAAGACTGACCCCATAATGATAACTAAACATGGTCGCACTTCATGCTAGATCCATGTGGTGTAATTTAAGCACGATCAGAAGCTTGTAGATAACTTGAGATAGAAGGCGGGATGAAGAACAATGTCAACATTTATGCGCTGCACTACGCTAGCCA